TTGTCAATAACAGAAAAAGTCTTCTGTTTCTGTCAATAATAGAAAAGGTTTTCTACAGATCTGCTTTATTATTCTCTCTTGTTGCAGATTAGCTTCTATTTTTTTTGTTAGCTGTATGATGAAACAAGGGGTCAACATTTTCTGAGTTTGAATCCTTGAATCCAAGTGTCCAAAGAAAGACTGCCTTTGACCCAACTCCCAATACCTGAAGAAAGATTTCAATTGCTATTTTGGGCCAACAGTTCATCTTTGAACCAATAAAATGTGTTCAGACACAGAATGATATTTTACTCTGTTCTGGATAAACATTTGGATAGAGGGTGGTTATTGCCTGGAGGAGTTTTGCTGAGCAGATTTTTTAAAAAAGCATATGTTTATTGCACTGTACATGGGTATAGAGAGAAACCATTTATAAGCTCTGTCTCATAAGTCCCCTCATGTGGGCCTCATGACAGTCGGATGACAGAGGCAAGACAGGTACTATTGGTACTTGTGCAAGATTCACAGATGAGTACCAAATCCTCCTTCCACTGTCTAACAAAACTCACCTTTCAAAATGTTCCTGAAATTCCACCACCTTCTCAAAGTTGATGAATCAGAGAGCAAGCTATCTTGGGACATAGAGTGAGATGCTGAATGGCACAGAAACCCTGGGGTAGGAGGTGAAGTACTATCAGGTCCTACAGGAGGGAGTGACACAAAACCAGAGGCAGCCACAGTTGGGATCTGGCTGGTTCAGAAGGCTTGACCCCACTATGACATGCCCTTCAGTCACAAAAGTGCTGAAAGCCTTAATAAAACCTCCTCTCTGTTGCCTACATGAATGCAGTTGGTGCCAAGGCATCTTCCAGAGAGTAGCCAGTAACATTGAGCAGCTGGCCACATAGTCTGGAGTGGAGATGGTGACTTCTTCTTCCTAGATTAAGACTCACTTTAATGATACCTTCCTTCTCCCACCCCAGAATTGACCAATTCCTTCTTCATGCCCACACTATTCTACATGTGAGTCTAATGTGGATATATAAACACTTTACACAATTATTCAGTTTTTTTCCCTCTCCTAGGAAAGATTTGCAGTTGAGGTTATGTTGATTTATTAATTCAATAGTTTATTGAGAACCTACTATGTGCCAGGCACTGTTTAAGGTCCTAGAGATAGAACAATGGGTAAAACAGATACAAAACTTTAACTTTCTGAAGCTTACCTTTTAGTGTGTATATATGTGGGAGGTCAATAGCGAGGTCAGTAAAATACAGGTTGTGTTGCTGGTGATGAATGCTATGGGGATAAAGCAGAATAGGAAGAACAAATGGAGGGGTGGCCTTGTAGATTAACCAGGGTACTCAGCAAAGTCATGACCCAGAGTGACATTAAGGAAAGAGCAGACATTGATATTTGTGGGAAAAGAATTCCTGGAACAGAGACAAGCAAGCACAAGAGCTAAGTGCAAAATCAAATGCAAATGGCTGGTATGTCCCAAGAAGGGCAGGGAAGCTGGTGTGACTGAAGCAGAATAAAGAAGAGGAAAGAGGAGCTGAATCAGAAAGTTAACAGAGCTTGATGTCAGAGGTCATTGTAGCAACTATGGCTTTCCCTTGGGGAGGGATGAGGAAGAAGAAGGACTTTCAGCACAGGAGTGATCTGACTTACATTTCAACAGGCTCACTCTGGCTGGGAATATGGGGCCTGACAATTAAGTTCACGAACTTTCCACCATGTGCTTACACTGGCAGCACTGTACAAACAGCTCAGCAGGGTTTCATAACCTTGGTATATCAGTGTCTCATAGCTGTGTTTGTGTTGATCACAACACAACTCAGTATCCTGCTGATTGGCATTCATTATGGTGGTTGCATATTTTTGTGTGTCGTTGTGAGAATGTCAGGGCTTGAAGTAGAGCAATGAATAAACATTACATTTCTTGTTGAACTTGGCAAGAGTGGAAGTGAAATCAAGGGCATGTTAGTCCAGGTTTGTAGGGATAATGCCATGAAGAAAACAGTGTGCAAACGGATTAAATGTTTTTCTGAGGGGAGCGAAAGCATCACTGATGAAGAGAGGTCACAACAGTCAGTAAGAAGGAGAACTGATGGAAACATTGCAAAAGTTCATCAAATTGTCTATCAAAATCATCGGCTGATGTGAGAGGCATAGCAGACCAAGTAAACATTGATAGAGAAACAGTTAGGAAAATCTTAGCTGAAAATCTTGGGATGAGAAAGGTGTGTGCAAAAATAGTTCTGAAGGAGTTCTTGCATCACAACAATGCACCAGCTCACACAGACAGCGCTGTCTGTGAGGGAGTTTTTAGACAGTAAAAAAAATAGCTGCATTGGAACACACTCTCTACTCCCCTGATTTGGCCCCCAATGACTTTTTTCTTTACCAAAAGATAAAGGAAATATTGAAAGAAGACATTTTGATGGCATTCAGGATATCAAGTATAGTACAGCGATGGCTCTGATGCCCATTCCAGAAAAAGAGTTATAAAATTGCTTTGATGGGTGAACTAGGCACTGGCATTGGTGTACAGCTTCCCAAGGGGAGTACTTTGAAGGTGACCATAGTGATATTCAGCAACAGGGTATGTAGCACTTTTTCTAGGATGGGTTTGCAAACTTAATTGTCGGACCTATTAGACTGCAGAAGGACAAGAGTTGAAACTGGGAGTTAGGGGGTTACTAGCAGATGACAAATATTGGTTGATTTGACCAAGATGGTAGCAGAAGAAGTGGTGAGATTATAGTTTAAAAATGGTGCTGATGAGATTTGTGATGGATAAAAAAAAAAAAGGCAAGAGAAAAGGAAAGCAGAGGGAAAAATGAATTTACATTTTGGCTTGAGCCAACACTACAGGAGGAAGAGTTAGTAGTTTGGCCTTGAGATGGCTTTAGACATTCAAGTGGAGTTGTTTAACTGAATGGATTTAAGAATCAGAAGTTCAGGGCACAGTTCATGCTAGAGCTATTAGTATGACACTTGAAGGCCATAGAGATATCATTAAAAGCCATGAGACTAGATAAAATCACCAGATGAAAGAGTACAGACAGACAGAAGAGTGAACAGGACAAAAGACTGACTCCTAGGTCACTCCAAATTCTAGGGTTAGGAAAGTGAAAAGGAACCAGCAAGGAGATTGAGCAGAAGTGACCATGAGGGAAGAGGAATTCCAAAAGAGTGTGGTTTCTGGAAGCCAAGTCAAGAACATTTCAAGAGGCAGGAATGGAGCAACTAGGCCAAATGCTGCTGTTAAAGGAGCTGAGAACTGTTATGAACTGAATGTTTGTGTCCTCTCAAAAATCATTGACTGAAATCCTAATTTCCAATGTGATGGTATCTGGAAATGGAGCCTGTGGGAGGTGATTAGCACATGAAGGTAGAGCCCTCATGAATGTGATTGGTGTCTTATAAGAAGATACAAGAGAACTTGCTTCCTCTCTCTCTGTTCTCTGCCATGCAAGAATAGGCGAGAAAATAGTAGTCTGCAAACCCGGAAGATGACCCTTGCCAGACACTGAATCTGCTGGCACCTTGATCTTAGACTTCCCAGTCTCTAGAACTGTGAGAAATAAGTTCTGATGTTTAAACCACCTGGTCTAAGCGACCTGAACTAACACAGTTTGTATTTTGCAGTGTGAAGATCACTGGCAACCTTGAGCCGTTTGAGTGCAGCATAAGAGGCAAATGCCCAAATGAAAGTTCCAAAAAGAAAGGGGAGATAAATTGGAAGCAACAGTATAGGCCATGCTTCAGGGTTTTGCTTTAAGGGGAAAGGAGTGAAAAGTGGGTAACTGGAGGGAAGGAAGAGTAAAATAACTCTCTCTGTGGGTGTGTTTATTTGTCCACTGGAAAGGTCCCATAAAACTTACTGGTAGAACCAGGCAGAGAATGAGTGATTGTGAGAAAAATGAACAAAGTATGCCCTGGTCCCAGGTGTACATGGGCCACTGAACTAATCCACACATGGTTCCTCTATCCATATCAATGGAAATATATTGTGGGAGGGAGGGTGCCCGGGTTAGGCCTCACAGGCCCAATGACTTAGAGGTTTCAGACTCAAAAGGCAGAAATAATGAACCTGTCAAGTATCAGGGTAGAGGTTCTTTCGTGATCGGCTAAGCCAAAATGTGGTCCAGCAGCATTTTCAGGGAGGTTAGCTGAGAGGGGTGGTTTAACACAGTGCGACAGTTGTCGTCATCATCGTCGTCGTCGTCGTCATCGTCGTCATCATCATCATCATCACACAGCAAGAAATATTCAAATAGCGATGAAACGCTTAATTTCTCACACCACCTCATAAATCAAAATAGAGGGCCTCGTTTCCCGGGGAGCTGCTTTGAGGAGAAGCAGTAGTGTTACCAGGCCGGAAGGTCAAAGATGGGGGAAAGCCAGGCATGAGGCAGAGGCAGAGGCCTCTTGCCAAACCATCCTGCCCCAGTTCCTGATTTTCACCCTGCCTACCCAAGGGCTGGAGTGGATGATCCTGTCCCTCCTACTTCTTCCTCCTTCTCTCTTTATGCCCCCGACTTCTCCTTTTGCCGCCCCCTCTCGGGGCAGGGTTGGTTTTGAAGCTCTGCCTTGGCCCCTGCCTGCCTCCCCACCGCCTCCGGGCACACGGGAAGGGGACCGAGAGCCCTGAAACTCCATCGGAGCAGAAGCCAGCGTTCTGAGCATGTGCGAACCAGCCGGGGGCTAGGGCGGATTTGGGGGGCCGGCTTCGGGTGACTGCCCTAAGCGCAAAGCGAGAGCGCGGTGAGCCAGCGCAGGGCGGGCGGCACGCCCCGGAGCGGTGTCCCTGCGCCCTGGGCGCAGTCGCCCTCCGGGCGTGGGCGAGTTGGCCGCGTGTGCCTCGCTGCTTGACGCGAGGACCAGCCAATCAGGGCGAGCGGCCCGGGCTGCCATGTGACGGGCGGGGCGGCCCCTTTCCCCAGCGCTGTCAGAGGGAGGAGAGAACCCAGGTTCGGCATGAGCCTTCCAGAGCAGCGAGCACGAAGGAGGCGGCGGCACAGGCTGGCGGCCAGCCGGGCGTATCCCCGGGCGCCCTGCATGGCGCGGCAGAGAGCTCGGGGGGCAGCGGGAGCCACAGGACAGGAGTGGACAAAGCAAGATGGCAGGGATCTTAGCCTGGTTCTGGAACGAGAGGTTTTGGCTCCCGCACAATGTCACCTGGGCGGACCTGAAGAACACGGAGGAAGCCACCTTCCCACAGGCTGAGGACCTCTACCTCGCCTTCCCGCTGGCCTTCTGCATCTTCATGGTGCGGCTCCTCTTCGAGAGGTAAGCGGGGCTGGAGCACCTCCTCCCCTCCCC